TGAAAATGATAGTGCTCAGGGGAAATTTGATTGGCTGAATCTATGGCAGCCATCTTGGATGGTACACACACACAGCTCTGCGTATTTCGAACATCGAATACATTGCTGTTAGCGCTCTAGTATTCTTATTATATCTCTATGGATCCAACTGACCAATTTTTAGGTAAAAATCATCCCGTTTTAAGTATAGGCCTACATTATTGTGTAGATTCTTCCTTGCTAGGCCCATTTCACCTTATAGGGCCATTTCATTAATATAATAAGAATCCATCATTACTTCTGCTGGCCTAGGCTAGCCCTCCCCTAGGCTAGGGCCTAGCCTAGGCCATATCCTTTAGCTCGCTAGTACCGCCTAGGCCTAGTTAGCCTAGGCTAGAGGCCTAGGCCTAGACTAACTAGGCCTGGTTAGGCCTAGGCCAGGCCCTCCCCTAAGTTTTATTTTCATGTTTACATAATTTACGCCGTGGTTTATTGATTTGACACCGGAACCCAACTGCCCAGCGTTAGAAGTCTGACACGCTACTACGCATGTGCAATAAAATGACAGATCATGGATACATTGTAAGTCAAAACAGTCGCGAGGAGCGATGGTTGAAATAAAACTGAAACATGAAGTTACCTCTATTTATAGTAGAAACTAAATCAACTGAATCATAAATGTTGTAATGTAAAAGCAGCGGAAGCATCCTATTTGGACTTGCAGTGTTGGGTGTAATAATAGTGAATAGTTAAAATAATAATAGTAATAGTAAAATAGCTACAGTATAGTAGTGTCAATTGAGTGCTAGGCCAGGCACTGATCAGTGAGTGCAGGCCACTGAGTTTCAAAGTCAAAACCATCACCTATGTAGACCAGATATTCGGTTCGGTGCAATAATGACAGCTGACTGAGTGTTAATGTCTTGATATTACAGTATTATTAAATATTTCATTCTTCAAGTTCAATTTATTTTGCCATTTGTAACATTGGAATTTCATAGTTAGCCTATGATGGTTGTATGATTCAGCCCTCAAAATTAACGCCGGCATTCGGCAATGCCGACGTAAATGGCGACGTCTAGCCGCCAACGCCGACGAGAAAAAATCGCTGACGTGAAGATTTTAGGCCTAGCCCAAGTTAACCCAGTCCTACGCTGGTACTAACAGTACCAGTGGTGGTAGACTCGGCTGGATCACCCTAAGTTTCATAGTGCGTGACAGCTTACAGATAGGAACAAGTGTAAATCAGTGTAAATCGATTAATTTTTAATTAAACAGATTTATTAAAACAAATAAGAAACCCTCATAGTTTTTTTTTACAGTCAAATCTAAATAAATCTTAAAAATGTAAATTTCATTCTCTACAAATTTCCTCCGTAATTAGCAACATGCTTTTGAGGAATGAGTGAAGCTATACATTTGTAATTTACACTGATGAATCTACTATGACATCCAGCGGGATCCAACAAATCCAAATTAAACGTCTACTGAAAAAGAGTCAGCCGTCGTAGAAACTTGCTTTGAGTTCCGTCTTCATTTCATGTTGATTGCAATCGATTTTTAAGAATAGGAATGGTTTTGGAACTTGAAAAAGAAAGTTTGGTTTAGTGTGAAATTCTGCTTTCTGGGAATTTGGAAATTATAGATTCCACTGTATGTTTTTTTTGTAGTTTCATTTTATTCATCATCATAACATTAACACTGTTGAACATTTTTATTAATAATTAGTTGTGAATTTGAACATCAGTACATGGCTAGGATTTCCAGCTTGATCGGGTGACTTTACAAGACATCCATCACTGATACAGGTCAGCATGAGTTGATTTCAGGGCTGAAACTAAAAACTGCCGACATTATAATTTTATATATTTTATAGCACCGGCGATTTTAAATTTTTTTTGCCGACATACTTTCTTCCTAATTTTGAGGCCTGTATGATTCTTGATAATGTTAAAGAATGAAACGTGGAATCAATTATGGCCTCAGGTTTGTTATCCTTTATTTCTATGTGTGAATAATCTGCAGTGGATCCTTTGGTTATTTGTTAGTTTATCGTATTGAAGAACGGTTTGCTTTAGTGAATTAAGTAATTCGAGGATCGGAATAACACAATGTGCAACGATTGCTGTGCATCTACAGTATAAAGTGGTTTTTCATGGTGGAATTACGAATCGTAATGAAAATGATCATATAAGTATTAATTTTATTTATTTATTTCAGTATTTCAAACACCTACAAATAAAAACGACAGCCATGGTACGGGCTGAAATGATTTTTGAATGGATGATCAAGCCCACGATTTGGCCCACTTTCAAACCATACAGTGTTTTGATGCGTCCAAACTGGTGGCGGCTGGTGGCCTAGCACTGTTAAGTGCCTTTGCTTAGCACTTCTTTCTAGCTCACTCAAGACACTACTAAGATAGTTTACGATTTCCACTAGTACTACACTGTAACAAGTCAATATTAAGGTTTCCGCTGTTTAAATTACAACAATTATGATTCAGTTAGTTTTTACTACATACAGAGGTAACTTCTTGTTTCAGTTATAATTCAACCCTCGCTCGCGAGTCGCGACGTTTTTGACTTCAAAAATATCAATGATCTTTCACTTCAGTGCCCATGCGCAGTAGCGTGTCGGACTTCTAACTCTGGGCAGTTGGGTGTCGGATCAATAAACACAGCGTTATAATTAATACTGATACAGTTGAACTTGCCAAGTCGAATCTAAAATGGCATTGAAAAACTGTTCGACTTAGCCTTAGGCTGGGCCTAGATAAAATTTGACTTACTTACGGATCATTAATAATTTTGAAACACAACAAATTGGGATGTAAAATATGATATGACTTTTATGATGGAATTATTTGAGTTGGCAAAGTTGACTTAGGCCTAGGCAAGGTTAACTGTACTTTTCAATAGAAATTTTACATCTGCACCTCCCTTTTTAATAGAAATCATATGAAGTGAATCATTCAACTTTTTCAGAAAAATAACAATGAACGGACGCATTTTCCTGGTGACAGGTGCTACAGATGGCATTGGTAAACACACTGCAATGCGATTGGCTAACACTGGAGCAACTGTCCTTATTCATGGGCGAGACAAGCATAAAGGAGAAGATGTTCTGAAACAGATTAAAGATGAATCGAAAAACAACAACATAAGGTTGTACATAAGCGACCTATCAACTTTAGATGGCGTGCGCAAATTGGCAGAGGAAGTAAAAAAGTCAGAAGATCATCTGGATGTTTTGATCAACAATGCAGGGGTGTTTCTTAAAAATCGTACGGAAACAGCTGATGGACTAGAAACAACATTTGCTGTAAATGTGGTTGCTCCATTTCTTCTCACGCACTGTTTGCTTGATCTTGTGCGTGCTGGTAGCAAGCCTCGCATTATAATCACGAGCTCGATCTCGCAGACAGACACCGTGACTTTGACAGACCTTCAGTCACATCAGCAATATCGTGAGGGACATGGCCCTTACGAGCTCTCGAAAACAATTGACATAATAATGGCACTGGAAATGGCAGAGAAATTTAGTGATATAGGAATAACTGTGAATACCTTAGACCCAGGAACTGTGAACACTAAAATGTTATATGCAGGTTGGGGGCCCATTGGTATACCAGTAAACAAGGCCGATAATACATTTCTATTGGCTACTGATGATGCGTATGCCAATGTTACTGGAAAATATTTCTTAGATAACACCATAAGTAATGACTTCAGTGGTGTTTGTAAGGATTCTAAACTACGTAAGCAAATTTGGAAGGCTCTTGAGAACATTTCTGGTGTGAAATATTAAATTGATTTTCTCACATGATCCATGGGGCCTAATTAATCCATACCATAATGTATTCAAAATGTAATAATAATATTATTGTTTATCAATAATATTATAGATTATCAGCACTAATAAAAAGACATAAAAGATGATTTTGTCCATTACCAGTTTTAATTTCATAATTTTTATAGTCCTATCGATTTTATTTATTGTACCTTTTTATTTCATCATAAATTTAATCATAAATTTTATGAATTTTATCATAAATCTTATTCATGTTATGAAACAGTTGAACTTGCCCAAGTCAAATCCAAAATGTCATTGAAAAAGTGATTTGGATAAAATTCAGCTTACAGGTCCTTAATTAAAGGAAAATGCAACAATTTGGTATGTATAAAAAGATGGACTAATAATAATGATAACTAATAATAATGATAATAATATAATAATAATACTAAAATTGTTGAAAAACACAAGTATCTGGGACTGATTATTGATAATGAACTTAACTGGGAAAGCAACACTAAATCATCTGTACCAAGGCAAATAAAAGAATGTATTTTGTATATAGAATGAAACGGTTTAATGTTAGCTCTCATCTTATTCATATGTTTTATTCCTCGGTTGTCCAGTCAATTCTTTCTTATTGTATTATTATTTGGTTCTCTCATATCACCGCAG